CACAATATGTTTCTATCAAACGCGAGCAATGCTACGAAGATATGTGTGATCAAAACCGCGGAATCGCTTTATATGTACTACTTTTGACCGCAGGAGACAACAATTCTATAGTGGGCATAGTTATTGTAATCTTAATATATATACAGCTATTTTAGCATTCTGTGGAGCTGTCATTCATTGGTTTAGGTAGCTGACTCCCACCCAGTAGGCTATTGGTTACAACTGAATATATATTTCTGCTACAACGCAAGAATTTACTAAGGGAATCTTTTACTATGTAATGTAGCTTTTAAAATTAAGTTTAAGTATGATATAATGCACCTAAAGCCTGCCCGAGTTGTTTATGCCATTAGATAATGAACGATACTTACTGTATAGTCGCTGAAGTAGGTGAAGTTGAGTTTAAGTTATTGGTTGACGGTTAATTACATTCAAGTCAATGAACGAGTATACTACGCTGCAGTCCGTTCTGTTTTGTTATATGACAGTGAGATATGGCCTTTGAAAGTAGAAGACATGAAGCGGTTGCATGTGTTTATCACAGGTGTCTTCGAAGCATTGATCGCATTTGGTGAAACCACCGTGTGAGCAATGTTGAGGTCAGTCAAAGGGTAGCAGGCAAGAAAGACTAGCAAGTCGACTGATGAGGTTGTCAAATTTATTCGACTGAGTTAGCTTGGATATGTACTGTGCATGCCAAGTCATCACCTACCCCGACACGCCATTTTGTGGAAGTTGGATAAAGTTTGGAGACGGTTTTGGGTGGACAGACCAAGATTTGACACCAATCCATGAAGTCTCTTAATGTTGGTCTGAGTCGTGTGGGGGAAATGTAGGTCGCCGGGTTGGGTTCTTCGAAACAAAAGTTCGTGCTGCTGATGTCGTCTAGGAGGACGATGAAAGCTTCACGATGAAGCAACCCAGCACAGAGAACACAATGCGACCAAGAAACAAGGAATCAGTGTACTACTTTGAAATCTGGCAACTTGGCGGATACAGTTTTATGCGAAGTTTCACGTTGACTTTGTCAGTCAGTAACATTCAAGTCAGTGAAACGCAAATATTTGCATATATTCGATATTTAAGTTAAATATTTTCCAGCTAGAAAATAATCTATTTAATCGCTATGCCATTTTACTGTACATATACTTTAAAAAAATATTTTTTCATCGTAAATATTTAATGAATTTCAGTTACAGACACGGGTAATGTTAAATCTATCATGCTGATTACCTCTTTCTCAGCTAACCAACTTTACTGCTTATCTGTATATTTTTCATTGCCTCTTTTATAATGGTTATCTATAATTATAATTTTATTAAAAATGCACACAGGCGTGTATTCGCTTGTTCTCGGCTACCATTCATAGTGTTTGGGTGTTTTTCAACAGTGAATCTATGGTCCTCATGTTCTGATAATTGCCTTGTGTATATGCATATATAACTAGGTTTTTGCACATGCTTAAAAGCTGAAATTGTGTAATATTTTCTGAAAGGAGTGTATTTCAGCGTTGAATATTTTAGCTAATTGACTGGTTAATCCAATTAGTAATTATTAAAATGGTAATAATAATAATTATCAGTCAATTTAATGCTTTTAGTTAACAATTAACAGCTTTTATGGTTATTTTTATTGAATGAAATACCGAAAAATGTTTTGATATTTTGCTATCAATCTTAAGATGATGAAGATTATTTGTATCTTAGGTGGATGATATTGATTGTGTTGTGTTCTATGAGTTGGATAGTTTAATCGTGACGCTTTTATTGTCGTTCTAGACACCATCATCAGCACAAAATTCCAAAGGAAGTAATCTATAGAGTTTTCTCCACAAGTGGACTAGTAGCTTGTCCTGATGACCTTGTGTGTGATTGGTTGTTTCGTTGTCTGCGTATTTATTTCGATTGGCTGTCTTGATAATTAGAAATTTGGTCTTCTTGTTGTTTTCTATTGGTTGGTAGATTAGGCCAATGGCAATATATCTGTTGATTGCTGACTGACCTGAATACCACGCTTTTAAAACTTCTCTGATATTTTTTGTATTTTTCATATATCCAGTATTTTCATATTTTCCTAGTCACATTCACGCCCACAGTAGTCTTTATGCATTGATATGAGCGAAAATATGTGATGACGCTGGTCGGATACGAAGAGGGCGATCACTCTGTCTGATGTTATGTTTTTCTCCGTCTCTGCAGTTTGTTTTGTAGATAACGTTTAGTTTGTCTCCCTGCATAACAGGAAGTGAAGAGATCTTGTAGGCCTATAGGGATTTCAAAAGGCTTCAGTAATCTGATCGTGATGTGGTAGACGTTCTGTATGTACGGTAAAACATTCCATTTTGTGGTTTTCTAGATTGACTTCTTGGTTGACAACGAATTGTGAAGACATTTTTGATGAAGTTGTATGAATAGCCTTTCTTCTGGAAAACAGTCATTAAATTATTTTCTTTTTTCCGCAATGTGGCTGTACTCTAGTATGTTTTCACTTTTTTCAACAGTGTTTTCATACAAATGATTTGTTTGCCGTTCGGTTGTCGCTACTGTAATTGAAGATTCGATGCGTATGAGTTGGTTTTCAATTTCCCCAAATCTATTCTAGAGATGTAAACATCTCAAAATACAAGTTTATTATTTGATTCCTTTTCAACTGTGAATTTGATATCGTCGATAATGTGGTTGATCAGTCTGTAAGAGTTTCCCAATTCATTTCTTTCAATGATGATAAATATATCATCTATATATTGGATCCAAAGTTTTGGTTTGTCCAACAGTTTCCAATCTTTGCATTACTGCTTCTGCAATTAGTCCTGATTTAGGCGATCCTATTGGTGTTCCTTTTTCTGTTTGTAGAGCTTGCTGTTAAATTGGAAGTATATTGTAAGCCATAAATCAATCAATTCTATCAAACTGAAACAATACTGCAACATAGTTTTTCGGATTAGTTGAGTCTCCGGTGCCTTATGTGCATGTGTGAAGATGCAGTGCTTACTGAAGTTATTGACTTCAGTGGTATTTTGACACAAAAATGTGGTGTGGGTGATGAATCAGTTTACAATCCTTATATTATCGTTTCATGAGCCAAATTGTTGATAGTTTATTGGTTTACTCTTGTAGTGGATTAATTTTTCAATTTCAAATGTTTTACTAATTCTGTCGATGATATCTATATGACGGTCTAACTATTGAACCATCTATTCTCATCTATAGACGAAAAAAATTCATGTAAGTAAGGTGAATTCATCGAGTTTACTAGGCTGAATAAAAATATGTTACGGACATATAATTTTAGCACTTTCGGGTAGGGGATCACACATCAGGATCTTGGCTGGAGGGTGGTTCCCAATAGAAACTTTCTTGGTACCAGAGTTGAGAGGTCGAAAAACTACTCAGCTGTGACAAGTGTCAACGTGAGCCGTGCCATCTGCAAACTAATTATCCTTATTTAGGCATACTGGTCCATGCAGGTTGTCTAGCTAGATTCATATGATCTGAACTAATTCGATTCTGTTAGCTGAATTTGTTCGGGTACATCATTTGGCCCCGAGCGAGCGAAACAGCTGTCCATTGTTTGTATCACTCTGGTCTGGCTGTCAAAATCAACAGATCAGCTTGAGTAGTTTGTAACCACTCAAATTGTTCAGTAATAGTGTAGTGGGCGTTGCTGATAAGGATGGATATAAGTAGTATGTGTTGTGAGAAATCATAGGGAATTACCAGCAATTGATAAAGATTCCGGAAAGAGAAATGCAGGAGACAAGGCAAGCGTATGAAGAGCAAATCAAGGAAGAAACAGAAGAGGAAATGAAGCATGTTTTACGAATGATGGTTTTGGTACAAGGTGTACCACATTTAACGACTACTGTCCCACTTGTTGACAATATACAATCCTTCCTTCATATCTGTCTTTTGATTCTTTCAATAGTGTCTTTTTGTCATTAACTTTACCTGATCGAGGAAAGAATAAGAGTTTGATGTTCAATACCTGATTAAATGACTTCAAACAGTTGGTTGTATGAATTAAAATGACTGTCGATAACCGGACCCAATTTTGTCTCCATTTCCATATGACATATGTACTCCAATAGTGTTTATCCTTTGTCTCATCCAGCTCTTCACAGACGTCAGTCTTTGGGATCGTAATGAACCTCATATTTTTCCAGTATGCATTATAGAACCCTTTTACCTTAGTTACTGTTGGAATAATTTATCACATATCTTTTTCACGTTCGTCAGTTTCTATTGTGGTTGGTATTCATCATGAACTGACATCAGTTAGAGAAATATTGGAAAACTTGTTAGCACTGTGTAGTTGTTTCGTCCTACTAGTATGGGACTCTTCAACGGTCCGCACCCATGACCCCACTGGGGATCGAACCCAGAAGCTTTGGGTTCCGTGGCCAGCATACAGTGGCTCCAAATCAAATTTCTGTTCTATCAGACCTTATAAATTCATACACACACATACACAGTTTGTTCACCTCTAATCTCTTGCATGCTTTGGTGTAGGTGAATTAGTCCTGTTTGTAGGAGTGAAGTGAAATGCAATCAGATCATGCCGTAGTTTTATGTAACTATGATACATTGCGCTATAATCATCCCAGCTAATACATACACACTCATCGTGTGTCACAATTACATCTGATAGAATAAGAGAAGTATTTTTTTGGCTCACATTTTCCTATACATTTGCGATTGTATTTGTGCTTCAGGTTGCTTATCAACTACAGATTTGCATTTTTTTTTGTCTCCTATTATCTGCACACTTTGTTCACTATGAAAGTATGTATGTGTGTGTATTTGTTTGTACTGTTCACTGGATGTAATTAAAGAGATTGGTACTTCCTTCATCTTTATCAATTTCTGATTTTCGTAACGTCACTATATTCACCATATATTGCATGCACCTTTACATTGAGATACTTAAGTATAAATTTGTCTTCCATTTGTTTTTGTATATTGATTATGTTAAAATATTGTTTATTTTTACTGTTGTTTAAGAACGTATTCCTGACACTGTAATCGAACAACCATATGAAGAAGATCAAATCAACAGTTGTAAAGCATCACCCGATAGTAAAAGTAAAAAGACAAGGTGAGTCTTATTCATACCTTAGATGCAATTGGTCAGATTTCTATCGTATTGATTTTATTAATCTGTAGTATGAATCTGTAAAAACATTAACTTTTGTTTACATGATATTTGATGAAATTTTCTTTTATTCCTGGAATAAACTTACTTGCCAAAGTCATTGGTGTAAAAGTTACACAGGGTTTATATATGTCATGTTAGAAACCGAATAGTTAGCGTTTCCGATTATTATTGACATTTGTCAGTTGAACGTACTTCAGAATTGCAGGGAACTGTTAATTACTTACGTTCACATTAACTAATTATATACTTTGCTGATTGCTTCCCATATACATTAATTCTAAATCAAAGATATTTTAAAGTATCCAAAAGTATCGTTAAGTATACGCTAATTCGTAGAAAATACTTTTTAAAAAAAATCTTATTTTCAATATGTTGAACTGAAATTTATTAAAATGTCACTATATGTTGTCCGCCACGTATGGTCACTCTCTCCATTCCTATTCAGTTCTATCGCAGATGTTCTCATGAGAGTCTCCCTCTAGTCATCGGACACTGATCTAATCATGGGAGAATCTTTAGTAGATCTAGAATACGCAGATGACGTAGTCCTGTTCGGTGAAGAAGCTGACTAGATGGAAAGTTTTCTGAACACCTTGACTGGCAATTGGAGATTGTGCTGGGATACATTTCTCTTCACCCAAATGCGAATTGTTCCTTCACCGCTGGTCTTCAATGATTCCCTAGTTAACAATACAGAGTGAAGTGATTGAGTGAGTTGACTACTTCACATCTCCGGATGGTAGGATCAACCCTGTTAGGTCAGTGACTGACAAAATTCTTGCGAATTGACGCCACTTCTGGTGCTGCCGCAATACCCAATTGTAACTATGAAAGGTCGAAGGTATTGTGCTGCAATGCGTTCTGTTCAACTGTACAGCTGTGAAACATGACCATTAAATGTAGAAAATATGAGAAGGCTCTACGTGTTGCCTTGGTACCACAGGCCGTGTGTCGTGGTGTCAGCACGTGAGTAACGCGGAAGTCAGACGTAGAGTTTTATGGAGGAGAGGTAAGTCAGTTGATGTAGAGATGGCTAGGGCATATTATGCACGCAAATTGACCTGCTGTTTCTTGGAGCAGTGTTAGTCGAAGTATGTTCAGCCTGGAAAAGGGCTCTTGACGGCTAGACTAATGCTTGGCACCACTCCATGAAGTCTTCAACTACTGGTGTGAATCACTTAGGGAAATGTAGACATCCTGGCTGCGGTCTGCAAGACAGCAGAAACCACTGATTGGAGACTCTAGGTGATATGACTCGGAATCGATGTCAGTGGCGCATATGCATACACACTTTGTTTTCATCTTGACTGCCAGACAGAATTCTGCATCTTCTCATTCCTCTTTCATTTCTTGTACTGCTTTCTTTCACTTTTGAAAGATTTTTCCTTCTTTCTTCTTTCATCTTACTGCTTTGTTACTTGTTGTGTTGATATGTGGTGTACCATCTTGGACGGTTATATAGTAATACCTGGTCCTATGTGGATATTAATTGGTTTTGAGAATGTTAGTATATTCAGTAGACCGTCTCTGTTGAAAGTGTTGACTGACAAATATAAGCATGATTCATACATTTCTCTTCTGTCCTATTCTTGTAAGCCAACATCTGGACCATCGTCATTAATCTGATGTGCTGAACCTGGCGATATCCCTCTTTTGAAAGGATTATTTTACCTTCAGAGGTGGATATTAAAAACCAATTTATCCAACTAATGCTAATAAAAACTGTGATTTAAGTGTATTTGTTTCAGTGGGATGTTGAATTTTGTTTTTCTCGTTTCTGTTTAGTATTCCATGAATTAATTTTCTCATTGATGATTTAACATAAATGTCATATGGTGTAGGATATACTGTTAATCATTTCATGTGAACTGAGAAGCATACTGAAATGTGTTTGAAATTTTCACTAACTGTTTTTTTGTAGTGTAGCACTAAAAAGAAACTACAGTACCAATATATCCGGCTAAACGGATGTGATATCGCCGCAAAGTGATCTGTATCTCAACAACATGAGATACTGCGATTATTAATTATTTTCTGAAAATCAAAAAAAACAAGAATAACCTGACGAGGACCTCCAGGTTTACAGTTTGATCTTTTGGTTATTTACTGACAATCCACAGTCATATCTTTCTTCATAATTGATAACTTGAAATAAATGGTTCAAGTAAACTTTAATGACAGCGAATCACGTTCTAGTATACACTGACCAATCACAATCGAGAATATGAAGGACAAAATAGTTATTTGAGAAATTGACACTTTATTTACAGTTTGTGGATTTGTTTCATATGAAAAATGAAAATATACATTTTTAATAGGCTTATCATCAATGAAACTATTCCAATGTCTATATTGGCACCCATCCCGTCGTAATCCTATTAAGGTTCTTAAAAATTTTTGAGACGACTCCTTAAATTTCCAGCATTGTGAGCAACCAGTTGTGCTATCAACGAACTACTTCTTGTGAACAATAAGTTGGTGGGAAAAACCCATACTGGACTGAGGAAATGAATGGCGTTTGCCTCAGTATCCCCAACCCAATTGGTCATACTCAAGATTACCCGTGACTAAATTTTACTTGAACCATAATTAGTATACACGAGTAGATTATTCTTCATATTCCTTGTCAGCTGAAAAGTCAGCATGTTAGTTGGATAGAGGCAATCGACAGGAAGCCCTAAACCTAGGTTTCGTACCTTTTGTCACTCGTCAACAAGTGTATCTGAAAACTCGATGGAACTGATGTCTTGCCTGAGGTTTGAACCCGCATCACATAGTGCTGCAGTCAGCAATGTTAACACTGAACTATTCAGGCCGTAACTGACATTCTGTAGGTCTGAATTAAGTATATCGATTGGTCACTAGAGTTAGCATTATTTCTAGTTTTAGTTGCTATTATCACTGTGGTTTTACTAATGTTAGTCGTTATCGAACATTTCTGTGCACATAATCTCAGGTCTTTCAAAATAGTCATGACAGATTTCAACGTCATGTTATTCTTGTTGTTTCAGTTAGTAAAATTCCAAACACTCACAAGACTATGCTTCAGCACACAAGCAAGTTGAAGAGTTAATCACAACTCAGATTATATTTTAAGTGATATTTAGTCTGTAGAGGAATGTTATGTCAGGTATTGGACCACATATCTAAGCGTGCTTAGAACATTACTGCGATACGTTTGTTTTAATTTTGCATCATCATCATCTTCAAAATTAGGATTGGACTAGGCATTACTACCTAACGGTCCAAGTTGCCACACTGCATATCAGCACGTCAAGTAAAATGGCAATAACATGGAAGATGAAGAAAGAAAGAAAAATCAGTCAAAAGTAGTAGAAAGCAGTAAAAGAGAGAAAGGAGGAATGGGAAAATAGTGAGATTAAGAATAGCGGTTAAAATGAGGATAATGTGTGTATGCATCTGCGCCACTGACATCGATTCCGAGCCACATCACCTAGAGTCTCTAACCACTGATTTCTTTTGTTCCATGGACCACAACTGGCTAGTCTGCATCCCCCTAGATCGCCCAAACCAAAAGTCAACTACTTGATGCCATGTTTTAGACTGGTCGCCTTGAACCTCTTTCAAGCCGGAATCTACTTTGGCCAAGATTGTGCGATGAGGCAAACGGTTGCTAGGCATACTTAACACATGTCCTAGCCATCTCAGTTTATGATGATTCGAAATCTCATTAACTGATTCACCTCTCCTCCGTAAAACTCTACGTCTGACTTCCGCGTTACTCACGTGCTGACACCACGACACACGGCCTGTGGTACCAAGGCAACACGTAGAGCCTTCTCATATTTTCTACATTTAATGGTCATGTTTCACAGCTGTACAGTTGAACAGAACGCATTGCAGCACAATACCTTCGACCTTTCATAGTTACAATTGGGTATTGCGGCAGCACCAGAAGTGGCGTCAATTCGCAAGAATTTTGTCAGTCACTGACCTAACAGGGTTGATCCTACCATCCGGAGATGTGAAGTAGTCAACTCACTCAATCACTTCACTCTGTATTGTTAACTAGGGAACCATTGAAGACCAGCGGTGAAGGAACAATTCGCATTTTGTTGACGAGAAACGCATCTCATAACACTTAGAGTCCTGATGATTGGTCACTGTTGGGTAACCAACTTTATTTATTCTGGTCGTAAGTGCTGGTGGAATTATGGCAATCATTTTGCAATCTAGCCATGAAGCCGTCATTATTTAAATCTCAGTTGGAGCATCAGTTCCGTTAAGGCTGCAGAGACTTCTTGCTGGCAAGTGCGAACTAGCACAAAACATTGTTCCTGGGCTTCCTACATATCGCCCCCATTCAAGTAACGCTAAGAGTCTATACATACCCAAATTAAATAGATGCTTTACGGTTGAAAATCAATGTATGCTCGTTTATATATATATATATATATATATATATATATATATATATATATATATATATATATATAATCAATAATTCCTCTTTTTACTTTGCAGTCAAGCAGACGTTGAACAGAACCTTATAACTCAGGCTGCTGTCGAATCATGGGTCGAACCAACAAAGATTTCTCAACAGATGGTCACAACAGAGAAAACAGATGTTCAATCAGTGGGTTCTGACAAACATTCGGAGGTAATTTTATATATATATATATATATATATATATATATATATATATATATATATATGTACAGACTGATAGAGAAAATCAGCGTATAATCTCGTACACAACAACATCGACTCAAGTTGCTACACTTCACAGTAGTATACAAAGAACAGGGGGATAGAAAGTGAGTGATATAAAAGTGGACAAAATTATGTGAGAAAAAACACAATCTGAGGGCAAAGGTTAATGCAGATACTCAAGCTTTAGAAAATCTCAGATAGTGAATAGATCTATGCTGTCGTTACAGATTTTCAGACATATCATCATCATCATTATCAACATAGGACCAGGCATTACTGCGTAACGGTCCGAGTTGCCACACCTCATATCAGCACATCAAGTAAAAAGGTAGTGAGGTGAAGGATGAAGATAAGTGAATGCAGTCAAAAGAAATATAAAGTACGAGAAGAAAGGAAAGAGGAGTGACAAAATAGTGAGATTCGGTATAGCGTTGTTAAGATGAGGATAATGTGTGTATACATCTGCGCCACTGACTTCGGTTCTGAGCCATATCACCTAGGGTCTCCAACCACTGGTTCCTCTTGTCCCGTGGACCCCAACCACCTAGTCTGCATCGTCCTACATGGCTTAAACCAACAGTCAGAGACTTCATACATTGGTGCCATGTTTTAGTCTGGCCACCTCGGGCCTTTTTCCAGCCTGAACCCACCTCAGCCAACATTGTGTGACGAGGCAATCGGTGACTAGGCATACGTAGTACGTGTCCCAACCATCTCAGTCGATGAAGGTTCACAACCTCGTCGACTGACTTACCTCTTCTCCCTAAAACTCTACACCTAACTTCTGCATTACTCACATGGTGACACCACGGAATACGTCCTATACTACGAAGGCAACGGTGGTCAAATACCTGTAACCTTCTCATGTCTTCCACTTTCAATGGCCATGTTTCACAGCCATACAGTAGAACAGAGCGGACTGCTGTGCAGTACACGCGACCCTTAATAGACAAACGAATATCACGGCGGCGCCATAGGTGGCGCAAATTGGCAAAAGCCAATCGAGCCTTTTGTATCCGTGCAGAAATCTCATCGGCAACTAACCCACCGGAGTTGATCCTACTTCCCAGGTAAGTGAAGTGGTCAACACACTCAACCACTTCACTCTCTATTGTTAACCGCGGTACCGCTGAAGACCAGTCCTGGAGCAAAAATTTGCATTTGGGTGGTGAAAATCGCATCCCAAACATTCTCAAATTCCCACTCAAAGTGTTCAGAAGACTCTGCATCTTGTCAGCGTCTTCACCTAACAGGACTATGTCATCTGCATATTCTAGATCTAAGGAAAATTCACCTGTGATCCGGTCAACGTCTTTGTAATTAGGTGACGAGAGGGAAACCTCCATAAGAATATCTATGATAAAATTAAATAAGAATGGGGATAGTGGGCATCCTTGACGGACACCACTTGATGAGTATAGCTCCCTGGACAACTCACCATAGGCTCTAACATGCCCACAAGTGTTCGAGTAGAGAGCTTTCAATAAGGTGATGTACTTACTAGGCACGCCTTTCAGTGACAGACACTGCCATAAGACTTCTCGATCAACGGAGTCAAATGCCGCCTTCAGGTCGAGAAATACAGCTATTGTCGGGCGTCTGTAAGCATGCCTATGTTCCAGGACCTGGCGCAGTGTGAATATTTGGTCGATACATCCACGGCCAGGTCTAAAGCCTGCCTGGTTTTCTCGGGCTTGCTGTTCCCGAGCTCCACTCAGGCGTCGGAGAATTATAGAACTTAGGATCTTAGACACTATGTTTGTCAGGCTGATTCCTCTGTGGTTATCACAAGAGGACTTCTCGCCTTTCTTGAAGACTGGGATGATCAGTGACTTAGACCAGTCGGAGGGGATCGTATTTGATTCCCATATACTGGCTAACACTTCCGTTAGCCTGACTAAGAGAACTCTACCACCATTCTTGTATACCTCAGCAGGTAGTCCGTCTGGTCCTGCTGCCCTTCCCCGTTTCAGGCTACCTACCGCTTTCTCAACTTCTTCTAGTGTTGGGGGACCTGTCTCTATGTCCCATTCAGGGTCCGACTGGATAGCGGGCAGCGCAATGGTGGCTGGAGGCCAGTTAAACTGTTCCTCAAAGTGTTCTGCCCATCGTCCCAGTCGCCTTCCCTGCGAGTGAATCGCGATCCGTCCTTCTCCGCTATAACCTCACTAACTGTTGTTGACCATTTCCCCCCAGTCTCCTTAATAAGTCTAAATAACTGTCTACTGTTACCGATCGCCGCTGCCTTTTCCATCTCTTTAGCCTTTGCTGCCCACCACTGTTCACGATCGTTGCGCAGACTTTTCGTCAGTTTATTTTTAAGTTGCGCTCGCTCTTCATTGTACTCAGAGCCTGCAGGGATGCATTCACGTGCATCCATTAGTTTGGAAGAAGCTGCTGATATCCACTGGCTCTTTTTAGCCATTATCTTGGAGTCGGCTACAGTCTCCAGTGCTGCTTTTACAGTAGACTGAAGATGGCACCAAGCTTCTTCTGGATGAGTGACAGTCTTTTGTTCCGATAACTGCCTAGCCAACTTCTCACTGAACACGGCTTTGGTGTTTTCGTTGTCCAGCAGAACTCGTAGTGGTTTTGTTGCCAAATTTTTTCTACGTCCATTGAGACGCAGGCATATACGTGCTCGGACCAACGCATGATCGCTGTCCAAACACGTACTCCAGAAGGAGCGGCAGTCTTCCACCGATCCTCTCCAGCGATGACTAATAGCAATGTGGTCTATCTGTGTCCATCGCTGAGTCGAGCTCGGTGGACGCCAGGTCAGACAGTGCCTTTCTTTATGTCTGAAATTTGTGCTGGCTAAAAATAGGCGGTTATCTGAGCATAGTTGTAATAGGCGATCACCGTTATCTGTACGTTCAGCTGGGATTCCGAAAGTGCCACCTAAGTGCCTTTCTGCCTCACTCAGTCTACCCACCTGTGCGTTGAGGTCACCTGCAACAACCACTACGTCCGAACGTTTGGCTTTCGAGAGGAGGTTAGACAGTTTATGGTAGAACTCGTCCTTCACTTCATCCGAACTACAGTCAGTGGGTGCGTAAGCAGAGATTACAAAGAGACAACGGCGAGTCTCACTATTCCTTTTAGTTCTCACTGTGCCGTTCAGCCTCATAGCGCAGAGGCGACTATCAACTGGGATCCAGTCTAGTAGTGAGTTTTCTGCCCTGGTGCTTAATGCTATACCTACACCTGCAAGACCACGAGAGCTAGCTATCGAATCTCCAGAAACTCGAAGGGTGAATTTTGCAGATTCACCAGATTGGTCAGGAGAGGTCAGGTGAATAACCACACTTGGGTCCTGTATGCGTGTCTCACAAACACAGCACACATCCATGCCTCGAGTTGCTAGAGTCTTTGCCAACGAAGCCTGTTGGCCAATTTGACGGAGGGTGCGGACATTGAAGGCTCCAATATGTAATTTGGAGCGTGGTTTAAGGAGACCAGGGACGCTGTTCTGTGGACTCAGATCGTTGTCGAAGGCTGCAGAGGTAGGAGAAATTGAAGATGATGCAGCATCATTAATTAAGAGACGTGAAGGAAGATTAGAAGGTAATGATGGAGGAGGAGGATAGCAGTCAGAAGAAACTTGGGTGCTGACAGAGTTGTGAGGGCGGTTGACACTTCCCGGCTGCCCACACCGTGGAAGGCTATTTCTTCTTAAGGTACCTGAAAGAGATTTGTGTGACCGCAGAGCCCATCGGACATCTGCTTGAGGCCTGTCACACCCAGCCTTTTGAGTATGATTATTTTGAATTTTTGTATTTTTGGGGCCGGATGAGCGAAAGGAAACGACAAGTGAACCAACACCGCCGGCCCGGCAGACCGTGGGGCGTGGTGGAGTGTGTTATTTTTGGGGCCGACCTTTTCTAACCCCCCCTTCCACTGAGAAGGCAGCATCAGCTTGGCACTGCTGGTCATCCAAGGGAAACACCTTACTGCTGTCACACCCCATCCAGCTAGCAGCAGTACGACTTCGCCCTCAGACCCCCATCATAGTGTAGCAATTTACACTATGACGGTAACTGCTTTTCGTCTAACCACTACCCAACAGACCTTTCTGGTATGGTAGGACCTCGAGGGAACAAGCGTTCCACCAGCATAGCTCGTTGGGTCATTGTGATATGCAAGCCCGACCACCACGGCAAGGTAGCAGCTATCGGTCGGGTTTCAGACATATCACCAAGAGTTTTCAACTATTGATTCTTATTGTCTCAAAGACTCCATTCAGATGGTCTACATTTCCCCGCCCGACTCAGAGCAACAGTCAAGGACTTCATTGACTGGTGCCACGGCTCGGTCTGGCCATTCTGAACCCTCTTCCAACCTAACTCAACTTCCCCCTAACATTCCGGTAGGCGGTGGCTCGACATGTGCAGTACATCTTCAAGCCATCTCAGTTGAATAAGTTTGACAACTTCATCAATCGACTTGCTGGCCTTTCTTGCCTGACATCAAAATTGCTCACACAGTGATTTCACCGGATATGATTAGTGTTACAAAGATACCTGTGATAAAAGACTTGTAACCGCTTCATGTCTTCTACTTTCAACTGTTATGTCTGAAAGCCATACAGCAGGACAGGACTAACCTCAGTGCAGTGTACTCGTGCTTTGATATATAGTCTGATTTCTCACCAGTCGAAACTACAGATGACTTCGGTTGCCAAATGCCAGTCGGGCCTTTTGCATGAGAGCTGAGATTCCGTCGGCAACCAGCCCTTTCTAGCTTATATAACTCCTCAATTAAGTGATGTCGTCAAGAAACTCTACCATTTCACTGCTTATCACTAAACTGGACTCACAAAGCGTAGTTAACTGTATTGATTTAACCTAGAAACACAAACTCAGACATAATTCTTTCAACAGGCTGGCAATTCATTGAATTCACGTTCTTAAGGAGTCTTATAGTTGGATGTAGAAGAAATGTTT